TGTTTATGTTTGGTTTATTATCTATGGTCTGAATAGCACGGCCTTACGATCTTTACCTTGTGTCATAGAGGCTGTTTTGTGTCAATATGTGCTGGTAGATTAATGAATGTTTTTTTTGGTCAATTTAGCACAAATATTTCAACCCTCATACAAGGGTAACCGGAAAACGTTACAGGATAAAACCGAACGTATCTGGCCTTGACGTCAGTACTGAGTGAAAGCTTTACAATGCTGTCCCTGTCTAAATTTCCTTGGAAGACCTGAAAATAAAAATAATTTTTTTGGTCAGAATTTTTTCTTTGTCCCACGCTCGTGAAAAGACGAAAAAACGTCTTTCTCTAAAAAAGATGTTGTTCCTTTGATGTGAAATATACATGCATCCTTCATCACCTTTTTGATGATGAAACAAAAGATGTACATATTTAATACACATTATCATGTATACAGTCAGATCTGTCACTTCTCCTGGTGTTGATTGTCAAATATTAGGAACATGGACATATTTTAGGGGGAATAGTGCCGAATTGAAACTCTGCTGCAAAAGCCCAAGAAAATAAGTGTCCAAAACCACCAACTAAGTGGATGAACCATTACTTTGTATTAACTTCAAACTCTTTCATAACTTCTAAAGACAAAAGTTGCAGTTTCATCCGCATTTTTTCAATATTTGTCTCCTTGTAAGTGTTCCAAGTTGTATCGTCTGTGGACAGGTGTAGTTTATAGCTAGTGGTGCATGCAGACTCGTTATACAAAAGCTTACAATCTCCGACGTTGTTCTCTGCTGCAGTAGCCAATGAAGATAAGTGTCCAAATTCACTATCTAAGTGTATGTCTGTTAACTAATAATTTGCATTGACTTCAAACTCCTAATTCCTGAAAACGTCAATTACGTGCAGTTCTCTCCGTACCTTTTCAATATTCGTTTCCTTGTAAGTGTTCCAAGTTATACCGTCTGTAGATAATTGTAGTTTGTAGCTGGTGGCCCATGCAGAGCTCCCTTGTAGTCCTTGTGTAGCCACACCACAAAGAAAACGCACTTCACCCATGTCAACTTGAAGATAGTCTGTTCTGTCAGATAAAGTTTTAGGGCACCACCCTCCCTTACTTCTGCTGTCATTGAGTCGGCCGTAGGAAGGACTATAGTCACCATTATGAAAACTACTCGCTGTCATTCTAGCGTCTGGTATTCTGTTCCTGTCCGCCACACCAATAGGCTTGCACACTATTAAAGACAGGTGACACAATCATTCTTGTTTTTTTATTCCATCTTATGGCCTCGCATCCGCACTAAAATTTCCAATACAGTTATTAGAGAACTTAGAGGTAGAGATATAGCAGCAACTGATTGAGTATCGATAAATACACGACTTGTTGATATCGAGTTTAAGAAGTCCCCCTGGCTATATGCTTGGAATGGCTCAAAAACAGGGCTGATGTTGTTACCAGATGAGAGTACGTTCCAGAGATTAGGCGATTTTTATCTTTCCCATGAAAAGCTGTAAATTACATTCTAATATTGACAAGTTTTTGATATTCCAATATAGTATCCTAGACTATAGGGACTTATCTTCAGATTTCCTAATTTTGAAGGAAGCCACCATTTTCATTTTTACTTAGCAAACGAACCTCCTTGACCTCTTCTTTCGTCCCATCCCCCGGGGGTCTGCTTGTATGATTAGGAGGTAAACAGAATGACATTCCAGGCTCAAACAACGAATTTTATCGATAACTTCATCTTTTTCGCTTATTCGTGAAATGATTATTATTTTTATTTTTTATTCTTTTGTTTCTCCGTTATCTTTTTTTTTCGCCAGAGCAGCAGTCGCTTGTAACCCACGCGGTGTGGTTTCAGTTATATTTGAGTTAAAGATCAGTACTGTTCGACCAGTCCCTAACTCATTTTCAAAATTATTTGTTTTGCTTTGCTTCTGATTTTGTCCTCGTTTAGATTTTGTATTCGTCAATCAAGTGAGGAAAACTTAGTGAATCCAGCTGATTGATGTCTCCATTATTTTTTGCATGTAATTCTTTCTGATGTGCAATAGATAACCCTTCACTTGCCTCTGATTACGAATTCCACTCGAAATAAAATCTTACCTGAATATTCAATCACTGTCGTCTGTCGCATTCAGCTCTGTAGATTTATTTTACTTAATGAGGAGAAATATAGATCACTTCCAATGAAAAATTATCGAGTCAAACCACTCTTTACCTGTCCTAACAGTCAGTCGCATTAAAGAAGATGTTTTGAACAGTTGTGCTGATGTGGCTGTACAGATATATCTGCCCGAGTCTTCATCTTTAATATTCCATATCTGAAGTGTTCCATCCGCACTGACTTGTGATCTTCCAACTGGCAGCTCACTGTTCTCTCTCACCCACATGATTTTTGGTCTGGGGTCACCAGCAGCTTGACATGAGACTGAAATATTTTGTTTTTGTCTAACATTGAGCTGAGCAGGAGGATTTGATGTGAATCGTGGCAGCTCCAAAACACTGAGAAGTGTCAAAGCTGAGTCTTCCCCCAAATCATTTGACGCTTTGCATTCGTACAAACCAGAATCTCTCTTTTGAGCACTGATAATTGACAGCTGTCCGTCTTCCACAACAGTTCTGGAATATGCAAGTTCACCGCGTACTCTAGACCACGTGATAATGGCTGGAGGAAAACTGGTCACGTGACATTTTGGGAAAGTGATGTTCTTGCCTTTTTCAAAATAAGTGGGCCCAGGGGAGAGTGAGATCTTCGGTTTATCTGTAGGATATTTAGAAAAATCATTATGCATATTGTAAATACCTGCCATTGCATCCGTGGATCTCATACAAAGACGAGGCTCATCCTTAGAGCTAAAAATTCCTTCAACTCAAATTGTCGTTCAAATCAACATTCAGCTTTTATTTTTTGGTCAGCGTATCACGGTGGAATCATATTTTCACGGAACATCCTCGGAACCAGAAAAGTGTCTCTTTTATCTGTCAGGACTAGGAATTTCGTGTCCCTCAATTGTAAAAAAAAAAAGGTGAAAAAATCGGAATAACGAGATTTGATCTTCGAGTTATAGAGTCGTAGCAATTATATAAGATGGTCACGTGACATTTTTGTAAAGTGATGTTCTTGCCTTTTTCAAAATACGCGGGGCTAGGGGAAAGTGAAATTTTCGTTAGATGTTTAGGAAAATCATCACACATATTAAAAATAACTGACATTTCATCCATGGGTCTCATACAAAGACGAGGCTCATCTTTAGAACTAAAAATTCCTTCGACTCAAATTGTCGCCAAAACAACAATCAGATATTTTTTTGGTTTGCGTATTACGGTGGAATCCTATTTTCATGGGACATCCTCGGAACCAGAAAAAGTGTCTCTGTTATCAGTCAGGACTAGGAATTCTGTGTCCCTCAATTGTTAAGAAAGGTGAAAAAATCTGAATAACGAGATTTGATCTTGGAGTTATAGACTCGTAGCAATTATATAAGATGGTTTATCATGTGCCCCATACGGCCCCGCACGCACAATCCCACAGAAAACCATGGTGAAAGCGGACATGTGTAGGGCCTTGTGCATGACTCGAGCCAAATATTTTCCCGTCCAGCCCTCCCACTCAGTCAAAAAGTACTTAATATTTAAACCTACTTTGTACGACGAGAATCACAGTTTTTTCCTCCTCTCCTAGAATATTTCGCGCTAAGCATTTGTATTCGCCTGCCTCTTCCATCCGGACACTAGCGATTTGCATCTGACCATTTGACGTCACTGTAGTCCTGTTGCTAGGAAACGATCCATTTACCTTTGACCAGAATATTTGAGCTGCTGGATTTCCCGAAACGGAGCATAAGAACGAGGCTGTGTTGGATTCGTTGACAGTTAGTTTCGGTGGAGAAATCGTTACTTTTGGCTTTGAAATAGATTCACCTGGTTCACCTTTAGTCCCTGGGATACCAGGGATACCCGGTGGCCCGATTTCTCCTTTTATTCCTTTTTCTCCCCTTATTCCCGTTGGCCCCATGATTCCTTGTTTTCCACTTCTTCCTGGTGGTCCCATGATTCCCTTAGCACCTTTTCTTCCTCTCCTCCCCCTGTCACCTTTGGGTCCAGCTCTCCCCGGAGGTCCCGGCCGCCCACGGGGACACACATTCAAATTGCCTTTGTTGCTGCAAATCTTCCATGTAGAAGAAATGATGTCTTCCATCATTGCTCTTATCTTTGCTGAGTTGTTGAAAGGAGGCGGATGTGAAATACTACGCTTCAGACGAAGGGTTTTCGGCTGCCTGGAGGTGGGGGGTACTACTAAAATGTAACAAGTAAAGGAAAAGAGTAACTTCAAAATGGCACTCCAGTGCCTTTTTCAATAAAAAAAGACCACAATTGACAATGGACAAACCACAATTATTTTCGAGACGGGGAGTGGAATACGCGAGTATGGATCCACTGTTGTCTTCAATTTTTAATTTTGCCTGAGGATTGCTGGAAGAATGTTTTTAATTACCAAAAGCACTATGAATGCAGTTAATCCCTTGACAAACATTTACTTTTTCGCAGCTGGGTACGGTCTCAAATAGGCAAAATGCCCGGCAGCCAGAAATGTTCACGGAATTTCTACCGGAAGGTTCTTTCAAACTTCTAAAGAATATCAGACGTTTGTTTAGAAATGTCAAGCGATTCCAAAAATCAATTTGGCTTTTTTAGTTGACAAATTCGCTAGGCTTGAGCTTACTTTAATATCGCTTGGTTGTCGACGCCGGCTCAGAAATTATACGCTTCTGATCACACTGCCGGGCACGGTCTCGAATGAACTAAACGCGCGGCAGTTGGTAGATTTCGCCAGAGTATCGCTGAAAGGTTCCTTGAAACTTCTAGAGAGTATTCAGTTTAAGAGTGATCGGGTTAAAAACTCAACTCTCTGAGTGAGCTGAAATTTCCTACGTGATAAAATTTCAAAATAGGTGCTGCTAACCGATTCTTGAACTCATGTGAAGAGATCCTCTAACCATTTGAAATGTCCATTTCAAATTTTTTATTTAAAATATTGGGAAGCCGAGGAATAATGAAAGCGGCTTGTTTGACTGTTAGTTTTTTCTTCGAATACATAATAAATACTCTCCATTACCATCATGTCTGGCTAACGTGTAATACGAACATTTTGAGAGTTTCAATTTTTGCGGATTGTTCTCGACGAATCATTAAACAAGTTCTCATAGGCGAGTCGAAGATAGTTTCAGTTAAAATACATGCGAGGTCAAGCTGTCAGCGAAGTCCGGTTAGTCCACTTTGCGATGAATTCAACATTCGTAGTCAAAGATAACAACGCCAGGAAAAGTCGAAATAATGAGAAACTTTGCCAGTCGTTCTTTATTTGGCTCGCATTCTGAGCGATGATTTGACAATGATAGAATGAAGAAATGAAACTACAAGATATTAGTTCGATTAAATGGAAAGAGACAAAAGTGGCGCATCTAGGAGTTTTCGACGGAAAGGGGAGAGGCGATGAAACGTGACTATGACCTCGCTAGTACATTCGATCAAGAAGATTTAAGTCTACAGAGTTTAAGTAATTTGCAACTTAAAGTCATCTTATATAAATTAGTTTGAAGAAGCATGTCTCGCAACAATCAAGACAACCATGAACGTAAATTACAGACAGTTTTTGACTTCACCTTGTTCAGCCGAATATAAATCTGTCCTTGCCTGTTCCATTTTATCTTGAGGCATGAATTCCTCCACAGTCCTCAACCTCCGTTCATAGTCATTGAACTTTGTCTCGATTCGGATGAATCCAGCGGAGTAAAGAAACAAACAGAAAACAGACAGAGCCGTTCCAGGGCTCACTGGAAAAGAACGATCTTTGAGAGACATCACGAAAACTAGATGATCGAACTCGAAAGCAACTTGTTATGGCATATTCCTGATACTTGACCCTTTAAAATTTGATAGCACTTTCAGCTCAGAAGGTTTAGTCACGCAACCCTATCAGGTAGCTGAAAAAAATAAGCAAAGCTCGTCATGTTGGCGGAAATGAGAAACACATCCAAGAAAGGCTAGATGATCGAGGGTGGTCAAACGCAACTCACTTTTTTCTAAGTGTTCCAATAGCTCTAAAATGGCTTTCAGTTCGAGCGAGAAACAGGGAAACTTAACGATGAGAACCAGGAAGAAATTTTAGAACAAGATGCGAGAAGGCAAATAGACAGACACGTGCACAAGTTGTTGTTACCTGCGGTTGTGTTAAATTCAAGGATACAATAATTGAATCTCATCCCATCAGCTTGCCCCCTGAAAGTATATCGATACTTAGTATAGCATTAGCTATACTAATTCCAACAAAATGTTTGTTTCCACGTTTTTGAAACATTCTACATAGCAAACGTGACCTTAAAACCACCCATAATGCCATTAGGGGTTGTGCACTTTTATGCTTTTGTTTTTTTTGGGTGCAACCTTCCTACAAACTGCTGTATGCATTCTTGTTTTAGCAGGTCATCCAGCTCAAGGATCAGCGAATTCCTTGATTATGATATTGCTTTTGTTTTGAAAATATTTTTCGATTTTTTTTTTCTCGGCAATATTACTGTACAGGACATAATCATACAGAGCAATTTAGTATTATGAACCGAGTTGATTACGTAAATTAGCCGTTGTAAAGAGTTCAAAAGCTGACGTTTAGAGCTTTAGCTCTTTGTCAGAGTGGTTGACTAAGGCTAACGCTCTGATGAAGGGTTATTGCTCGAAACGTCAGCTTTTAAACTCGCTACGGTGGACAATTTACATTATCAACTCATTTCATAATACTAAACTACCCGGTTATGCTATTCCACCGATGCACAAGGTTATTTGGCATGTACAAGACCCTTCTAATCAATTATCCCAATCCTCGAAATTCAGATTTATTTGTTTTCTGTGTAGGAGTTTAAGAGGTCCTTGCTAGACATTCTGTTGTTCTTTCACAAAAACAATTAACACTTTTCTCTCAGAAATTCCATCTCCGAAAAAAGTCTCATCCCCCTTGCTTTCTTTTTGTTAATGACTACGTGTAAATAAAAAAAAAAATATTTTGCTTATTTTCTACAATTGTCTTTGTTGTTGTTGTCTTGTTCGTTTGTTTACATTTCATTTATTTCTGCGGTCTGAATAGCATGGCCTCATGATCCATACCTTGTGTTATTGGGAAGTTTTATGTCAATATGTGCTGGTTGATTAATGAATAGTTTTTTTTTTGTCAATTTAGCCGCACATATATTTCAACCCTTAAACAAGGATAAGTGTGATACGTGACAGGATAGAACCGAACGTATCTGGCCTTGACGTCAGTACTGAGTGGATGTTTCACAATGCTGTTTCTGGCTGAATTTCCTTGGAAAACCTAAAAATAAAAATAACCGTAAATAATGCGAGTTTTAGAGCACAGGAGAGGGAGAGAATGTGAAGAATCATTGACTCAGAGCGCTAAATATTAAAGGCAAGAAAGCACATTTGAGCTGTGGCTCAATAGACTCGGAAAATAGTAGTTCGAGACATGAACGTTAAAAAAATTCAACAGTTGAAGAATTTGCGTGTCTTACACCAAAGTGAATAATTGACTTCTATAAGGCATCACGCAAAGGCTGATATAAGACAATGCACCGTTCGTTCATCACCTTTTTAACTACGAAACAATCAAACAAACAAACAAACAAACAAAAATATATCTATATTCATGTATACAGTCAGATCTGTTAAATGAGTACTTCTCATAGTGTTGATTGTCAAATCTTATGGACGCCCTACAACCAAAGTGAATAACTGACTACTGCCCTCTGATGTGCAACATGATTCACATCAGTTTCAGGGGGAGTAGTGCCGAATTGAAACTCTGCTGTAAAAGCCTAACGGGATAAATGTTCAAATTCACCAACTAAGTTTATGAGCCAATACTTTGTATTTACTTCAAACTTTTTCATAACTGTTAATATCAGTTGCAGTTTCATCCGCATTCTTCCAATATTTGTCTCCTTATAAATGTTCCAAGTTATATATACCGCCTGTGGACAGGTGTAGTTTATAGCTAGCGGTCTAGGAAAATTCGTCATACACAAGCTTATAATCTCCGACGGCGTTCTCTGCTACAATAGCCAATGAAGCTAAGTATCCAAATTCACTACCTAGGTATATTTCTGTTCGCTAATTATTTGTATGACTTCAAACTCCTAATTCCTGAAAACGTCAATTACGTACAGTTCTCTCCGTACCTTTTCAATATTCGTTTCCCTGTAAGTGTTCCAAGTTGTACCGTTTGTTGATAACTGTAGTTTGTAGCTGGTGGTCCATGCAGAGCCCCTCAGTAATCCTTGTGTGGCCACACCACAAAGAAAACGCACTTCACCCATATCAACTTGAAGATAGTCTGTTCTGTCAGATCTAGTTTTAGGGCACCACCCTCCATGGCCACTGCTTTCATTGAGTCGGCTGTAGTAGGGAGGAGTATAATTACTGTAAAAACTGCTCGCTGTCATTCTGGCGTCTGGTATTCTGTTCCTGTCCACCACACCAATAGGCTCACACACTAAGTAAAAACAGGTGATACAATCATTCTAGTTTTTTATTCCATCTTATGGCCTCGCATCCGCAATAAAATTTCCAAATTTCCAAGCGGAATTCATAATCAGAGTCAAGTGAAGGGTTATCTATTACTCATCATGGAGAATTGCATTCAAAAGATAATGGATACGTCAGTCAGCTGGATCCACTAAGTTTTCCCTACTTGATTGATGAATACAAAATCAAAACCTTTTTAATACACTTTTTAATGAAATAAACAAAAACAACTGGATTTTGGAGAGTGTTCTTACATCATGAATTATTCGTTTTGCCTTGTCTCTCATTTTGTCCTCGTTTTTGATTTTGTATTTATCAATCAAGTACGGAAAACTAAGTGAATCCAGCTGATTGACGTCTCCATTATTTTTTGCATGCAATTCTTTATGACGAAAAGTAGATAATCCTTCACTTGACTCTGATTATGAATTCCGCTTGAAACGAAATCTTACTTGAATATTCAGTCATTGTCATATGTCACATTCAGCTCTCTAGATTTATTTTATTTAATGTGGAGAAAAATAGATTACTGCCCAATGAAAAGTTACCGAGGCAAACCACTCCTTACCAACAGTCAGTTGCATTAAAGACCTTTTGAATAATTGCGCTGATATGGCTATACAGATATATATTCCCGAGTCTTCATCTTTAATATTCCATATTTGAAGTGTTCCTTGCGGACTGACTTGTGATCTTCCAACTGGCAGCTGGCTGTTCTCTCTCACCCACACGATTTTTGGTCTGGGGTCACCAGCAGCTTGACATGAGATTGAAATATTTTGTTCTTGTCTAACATTGAGCTGAGCAGGAGGATTTGATGTGAATCGTGGCAGCTCCAAAACGCTTAGAAGTGTCAAAGCTGAGTCGTCACCCAAATCATTTGACGCTTTGCATTCGTACAAACCAGAATCTCTCTTTTGAGCACTGATAATCGACAGCTGTCCGTCTTCCACAACAGTTCTGGAATATGCAAGTTCACCGCGCACTCTAGACCACGTTATGACGGCTGGAGGAAAACTGGTCACGTGACATTTTGGTAACGTGATGTTCTTGCCTTTTTCAAAATAAGTGGGCCCAGGGGAGAGTGAGATATTCGGTTTATCTGTAGGATATTTGGAAAAATAATTATGCATAATGGAAATAACTGCCATTGCATCCGTGGATCTCATACAAAGACGAGGCTCATCTTTAGAGCTAAAAATTCCTTCAATTCAAATTATCTTTCAAACAACGTTTAGCTTTTTCTTTGGTCAGCGTATTACAGTGGAATCCTGTTTTCATGGGACATCCTCGGAACCAAAAAAATTGTCTCTTTTATCAGTCAGGACTAGAAATTCTGTGTCCCTCAATCGTAAAAAAAGGTGAAAAAATCGGAATAACGAGATTTGATCTTCGAGTTATAGAGTCGTAGCAATAATAAAAGATGGTTTATCATATGCCCCCTACAGCCCCGCGCGCACAATCCCACAGAAAACCATGGTAGGGCCGTGTACATTACTCGAGCCAGATATTTTCCCGTTCAGCCCTCCCACTCAGTCAAAAAGTACATAATACTTAAACCTACTTTGTACGACGAGAATCGCAGTTTTTTCCTCCTCTCCCAGAATATTTCGCGCTAAGCATTTGTACTCGCCTGCCTCTTCCATCCGAACACTAACGATCTGCATCTGACCATTTGACGTCACTTTAGTCCTATTGCTAGGTGACGATCCATTGACCTTTGACCAGAATATTTGAGCTGCTGGATTTCCCGAAACAGAGCATAAGAACGAGGCTGTGTTGGTTTCGTTGATAATTAGTTTCGGTGGAGAAATTGTTACTTTCCGCTTTGAAATGGATTCGCCTGGTTCACCTTTAGTCCCTGGGATACCAGGGATACCCGGTGGCCCGATGTCTCCTTTTATTCCTTTTTCTCCTCTTATTCCTGGTGGTCCCATGACTCCTTGTTTTCCGCTTCTTCCTGGTGGTCCCATGAGTCCCTGGGATCCTTTTCTTCCTTTCCTCCCCCTATCACCTTTTGGTCCAGCTCTCCCCGGAGGTCCCGGCCGCCCACGGGGACATACGTTCAAATTGCCTTTGTTGCTGCAAATTGCCTTTGTTTCCTTCCATGTAAAAGAAATGATGTCTTGCATCATCTCTCTTATCTTTGCTGAGTTGTTGAAAGGAGGTGGATGTGAAATACTACGCTTCAGACGGAAGGTTTGCGGTTGCCTGGAGGTGATGGGTACTACTCAAAATGTATCAAATAAAGGAAGAGAGTAACTTAAAATGGCATTTTACTGCCTTCTTCAGAAAAAAAAAACCAAAAAGCAAAAAACTTCAATGATTTATTCTTTTTTTCTCGCAATTTTGATCACCAATTTCTTTCTAAGTAGTGTGTTTGTCTGATGGGGGCAGAGTGGGGTAGGGCGGGGGGGGGGTAGGGTTGGGCGGGAGGACGAACCACAATTAATTTCGAGACGGGGAACGTGATGCGCGAATATGTACGCACTGTCGTCTTCAATTTTTAATTTTAACTGGATAACTGTTTTCAATTACCAAAAGGACCACAAATGCAGTTTAATCCTTCGACAAATATTTCCTTTTTGGCAGCTGGGCACGCTCTCAAATAGGCAAAATGCCCGGCAGCCATAAATTCTCTCAGATTTTCCACCGAAAGGTTCTTTGAAACTTCTTAGGAATATCAGCTGTTTGTTTAGAAATGTCAAGCGTTTCCAAAAATTAATTTGGCTTTTTTGGTTGACAAATTCTCTAGGCTTGAGCTTAGTTTAATATCGCTTGGTTGTCAACACTTATAAGTTATAATTATACACTTCCGATCAGACTGTCGGTCACGGTCTCGAATGGACTAAGTTTACGCGTGGTAGTTGGTAGTTTTCACCAGAGTAACGCTGAAAGGTTCCTTGAACCTTTAAAGAGTATCAAGTATAAGAGTAATCGGGTTCAAAACTCAACTCGCTAACTGGGCTGAAATTTTCTACATGATAAAATTTCAAAATACGTGCTGCTAACCGATTCCTGAACTCATGCGAAGAGATCCTCGAATCATTTCAAATTTTTAATTCAAAATATCGGGAAGCCGAGGAATAATAAAAGCGGCTTGCTTATTTGTTTTTTTCCTCCGAAAACAGAATAAATACCTCTCATTGCCATCATGTCTGACATACGTGTACGGTTAACATGAACATTTTGCGAGTTTTAAGTTTTGCGGATCGGTTCTCGACGAATAAACAGGTTCCCGCCGGCGAGGCGAAGTTATTATTTCTTAAAATACCTGAGAGGTCAAGGTGTCAGCGATGTCCAGTAAGTTCTCAGTGTGATGAATTCAACAATCGTAGACAAAGAAAACAACGCCATAAAAAGTCGAAATAATGAGTAGCTTTGTCGTTCGTTATTTGCCGGCTCGTCTTTTGAGCGATGATTTAACATTGATAGAATGTCCGTTAGCAGATAGCAAAATGAGACTACAAGATATTAGTTCGATTAAATGGAAAGAGACGAAAGTGGCGCATCCAGGAGTTTTCGACGGAAAGGGGAGAGGCGATGAAACGTGACTATGACCTCGCTAGTACATTCGATCAACAAGATCTTAGTCTGTACAGGGTTAGAGTAATTTGCAAATTAAAGTCATCTTACGGAAATCAGTTTGAAGAAGCATGTCTCGCAATAATCAAGACAACCATGATTGTACTTTACAGACAGTTTTTGACTTCACCTTGTTCAGCCGAATGTAAATCTGGCCGTGCCTGTTCCATTTTATCTTGAGGCATAAATTCCTCCACAGTCCTCAACCTCTGTTCATAATCATTGAACTTTGTCTCGAATCGAATGAATCCAGCAGAGTAAAGAAGCAAACAGAAAACAGACAGAGCCGTTCCAGGACTCACTGGAAAAGAACGGTCTTTGAGAGAAATCACGAAAACTAGATGATTGAACTCGAAAGCAACTTGTTATAGCACATTGCTTTTAAATTTGATAGCACTTTCAGCTCAGAAGTCACGCAACCCTATCAGGTAGCTGGGAAAATATGAAAAAAATCTTTGGCGGAAATGAGAAAGATCTAAAAGAAACTAGATGATCGAGGGTGGTTAAACACAACTCATTTATTTTTCAAAGTGTTCCAATAGCTCGGTCTGTGATGGCTTTCAGTACAAGCGACAAACAGGGAAACTTAACGATAAGAACCGGGAGGAAATATTATGACAAGTGCGGAGAGGCAAATAGACAGACACGTGCACAATTTGTTGTTGCCTGCGGTTGTGATAAATTCAAGAAAACAATAATTGAAACTGCGTCTCATCTTACACTCTCAAACTTTCTCAACTCCACATAGCTAAAAGTAATTTGCTGTGCACTGTTTATTCATAATTGTTAGGAACCTTTTTTTAATTTCAGAATTTGTTAAATTGGAATAATGGTATAGATAGAATACATTATTTTTTTAAAATATTGTGCGTCATGTTTGATCGGACGGCAGTATCTCATCCCATCAGTTTGCCCCCTGAAAGTATATAAATACTTTGTATACCTTTAGCTATACTAATTCCAACAAAATGTTTTGTTTCAACGTTTTGATATCGCTTTTGTTTTGAAAATATTTTTCTATCTTTTTTTTCGACAATATTACTGTACAGGACATAATCATACAGAGTAATTTGGTATTATGAACCGAGTTGATAACGTAAATTAACCTTTGTAAAGAGTTCAAAAGATGACGTTTAGAGCGTTAGCCCTTCGTCAGAGCGATTGACGAAGGGCTAACGCTCTGACGAAGGGCTAATGCTCGAAACGTCAGCTTTTAAAGTCGCTACTGTGGCCAATTTACATTATCAACTCGGTTCATAATACTAAACTGCCCAGTTGTACTATCCCAACGATGCATTATCACAGTTTCTTTAGAAACTTACCCTCTTTATTTATAAAAATACAGATGTCACTTTCCACTACACTAATACAATTCATCAAACTGAATATCTTAAAAAAAATTACTAACACCAACATAGGTTATTGTTTTGAAAATAAAGATTTCCGAACTTCTGAAGTAAAAGCACAAGGTTATTTGGCATCTACAAGACCCTTCTTATCCATTGTCCCAATCCTCGAAATTCAGTTTTCTTTGTTTTCTCTCAGAAATCCCATTTCCGAAAAAAGTCTCCTCCCCCTCACTGTTATTTGTTTTTTAATGACTACGTGTAAATAGAAACAATTATTTTGCTTATTTTCTACAACTGTCGTCGTTGTTGTTGTCTTGTTCGTTTGTTTACGTTTCGTTTATTATCTGCGGTCTGAATAGCATGGCCACATGAGCCATACCTTGTCTTATTGGGGCAGTTTTATGTACACATGTGCTGGTGGACTAATAAATAGTTTTTTTTTGTCAATTTAGCAGCACGTATACTTCAACCCTCATACAAGGATGACCGTAATCCGTAACAGGATAAAACCGAATGTATCTGGCCTTGACGTCAGCACCGAGTGGATGTTTCACAATGCTGTTTCTGTCTGAATTTCCTTGGAAGACCTAAAAATAGAAAGAACCTTAAATAATTCGAGTTTTAGAGCTCAGTGTCTGTAGAACAAAAAGCGAAGGTGATTGGTTGGGGAGAGGATGTTAAGAATCATTGAATCAGAGCGCTGAGTTTTAAAGGCAAAAAAGCATATTTGAGCGGTGGCTCAATAGACTCGGGAAATAGTAATACGAGTGATGAATGACCCCCGAAACAAATGCACGTTCAAAAAAATTCAACAGTTGAAGAATTTGCGGTTATTGACGTCTATAAGGCACCACGCACAGGCTGGTGTAGGTAATACGAGAGTATGAACATCGACTCTCAACTAAGTGTATGAGCCGATACTTTGTATTTACTTTAAACTTTAAGTTTTCATAACTGCTAATCTCAGTTGCAGTCCGCACCCTTCCAATATTTGTCTCCTTGTAAGCGTTCTAAGTTAAACCGCCTGTGGACAGGTGTAGTTTATAGCAAGTGGTCTAGGAAAATCCGTTATACACAAGCTTATAATCTCCGACGGCGTTCTCTGCTGCAGTAGCCAATGAAGATAAGTGTCCAAATTCGTTATCTAGTATATGTCTGTCCGCTAATTATTTGCATTGACTTCAAACTCCTAATTCCTGAAAACATCAATTACCTACAGTTCTCTCCGTACCTTTTCAATATTCGTTTCCTTGTAAGTGTTCCAAGTTATACCGTCTGTAGATAATTGTAGTTTGTAGCTGGTGGCCCATGCAGAGCTCCTTCTAGCTTGTAGTCCTTGTGTAGCCACACCACAAAGAAAACGCACTTCACCCATGTCAACTTGAAGATAGTCTGTTCTGTCATATGTAGTTTTAGTGCACCACCCTCCATGTCCTCTGCTCTCATTGAATCGACCGTAGAAAGGATGATAATTACCATCGAAAAAACTGCTTGCTGTCATTCTAGCGTCTGGTATTCTGTTTCTGTCCACCACACCAATGGGCTCGCACACTAAGCAAAAACAGGTGACACGATCATTCTAGTTTTTTTATTCCATCTTATGGCCTCGTATCCGCAATAAAATTTCCAATACTATTATTAGAGACCTCAGATATTACGCATTGAGTCAGCTAGCGTTTATAGAGAAAGAGCGAACAACTTCCTCACAAAGGACTGCGGGGGAAGAGGGAAGCAGTGCTCTTTAGGAATTATTTATATTTCAGTCAGTTTACGATTTGATTTCTGGTGGGAATCTAAAAACGCAGTGCCATGTAGTTTGGTTTCAAAGTTCTTAATACACGTTTCAGTGAAGTAAACAAAAACAACTGGTTATTGGAGAGTGTTCTCACATGATTATGAATGATTTGTTATGCCTTGGCTCTCATTTTATCCTCGTTTTTGATTTTGTATTCATCAATCAAGAAGGGATAACTTAGTGGATCCAGCTGCATGCAATTCTTTATGATGATTAATAGATCACCCTTCACTTGACTCTGATTATGAATTCCGCTTGAAACAAAACCTTACTTGGATATTCAGTCACCGTCAACTGTCATATTCAGCTCTCTAGGTTTATTTTACTTAATGTGGAGAAAACTGCCCGATGAACAATTACCGAGGCAAACCACTCCTTACCTTTCCTAAGGGTTAGTTGCATTAAAGAAGACGTTTTGAACAGTTGCGCTGATGTGGCTGTGCAGATATATATTCCCGAGTCTTCATCTTTAATATTCCATATCTGAAGTGTTCCATTCACACTGACTTGTGATCTTCCAACTGGCAAGTCGCTATTCTCTTTAACCCACGTGATTACTGGTCGAGGGTCACCAGCGGCCTGACAAAGAACTGAAACATTTTTGTTTTTTTCTACATCAAGCTTTGCAGGTGGATTGACTGTAAAACGGGGAAGATCCCACACAACAAGATTTGTCAAAGCTGAATCATGGCCCAGATTATTGGAGGCTTTGCATTCGTACAAACCAGAATCTCTCTTTTGAGCAGTGATAATTGACAGCTGTCCGTCTTTCACAAGAGTTCTGGAATGTGCAAGTTCACCGCGCACTCTAGACCACGTGATGATGGCTGGAGGAAAACTAGTCACGTGACATTTTGGCATAGTGACGTTCTTGCCTTGTTCAAAATAAGTGGGGCCAAAGGAGAGTGAGATCTTAGGTTTACCTGTAAAATATTTTGGAAAATCATTATGCATATTTTAGATAAAAGCCATTACGTACGTGGTTTTCATACAAAGATGTGGCTCATCTCTAGAGCTAAAATTACCTTCGCCTCAAATTGTTGTTCAAAACAACATTCAGCTTTTATTTTTGGTCATTGTATTACGATGGAATCCTATTTTTACAGGAAATCCTCTGGACCAGAAAAAGTGTCTCTTTTATCTGTCAGGACTAGGAATTTCGTGTCCCTCCATTGTACAAAAAGGTGAAAAAATCGGAATAACGAGATTTGATCATCGAGTTACAGAGTCGTAGTCATTACATTAGATGGTCACGTGACATTTTGGTGAAGTGATGTTCTTGTCTTTTTCAAAATGCGTGAGGCTAGGGGAGAGTGAGATTTTCCGTTTATCTGTAGGATATTTAGGAAAATTCTCATGCATATTGTAAATAACTGCCATTGCATCCGTGAGTCTCATACAAAGACGAAACTCATCTTAAGAGCCAAAAATTTCCTTCGACTCAAATTGTCGCTCAAAACAACAATCAGCTTTTATTTTTGGTTTGGGTATTGCGGTGGAATCCAAATTTCACGGGACATCCTCGGGACCAGAAAAATTGTCTCTTTTATCAGTGAGGACTAGGAATTCTGTGTTCCTCAATAGTAAAATAAGGTGAAAAAATTGGAATAACGAGATTTGACCTTGGAGTTATAGAGTCGTAGCAATTATATAAGATGGTTTATCCTATGCCCCCTACGGCTCCACGCGCACAATCCCACAGAAAACCATGGTGAAAGCGGACTTGTGCATGACTCGAGCCAAATATTTTCCCGTCCAGCCCTCCCGCTCAGTCAAAAAAAACATACTAATACTTAAACCTACTTTGTACGACGACAATCGCAGTTTTTTCATCCTCTCCCAGAATATTTCGCGCTAAGCATTTGTATTCGCCTGCCTCTTCCATCCGAACACTAACGATTTGCATCTTACCATTTGACGTCACTTTAGTCCTCTTGCTAGATAACGATCCATTGACCTTTGACCAGAATATTTGAGCAGTTGGATTTCCCGAAACAGAGCATAAGAACGAGGCTGTGTTGGTTTCGTTGACAATAAGTTTCGGTGGAGAAATTGTTACTTTTGGTGTTGAAATGGATTCACCTGGTTCACCTTTAGTCCCTGGGATACCAGGGATACCCGGTGGCCCGATGACTCCTTTCATTCCTCTTTCTCCTCTTATTCCTGGTGGTCCTATGATTCCTTGTTTTCCGCTTTTTCCTGGTGGTCCGATTATTCCCTGGGATCCTTTTCTTCCTTTCCTTCCCCTGTCACCTTTGGGTCCAGCTCTTCCCGGAGGTCCCGGCCGCCCACGGGGACACACATTCAAATTGCCTTTGTTGCTGCAAATCTTCCATGTAGAAGAAATGATGTCTTCCATCATTTCCCTTATCTTTTCTGAGTTGTTGAAAGGAGACGGATGTAAAACACTCCGCTTCAGACGAAAGGTTTTCGGCTGCCTGGAGGTGGTGGGTACTACTAAAAATGTATCAAATAAAGGAAGGAGCAAACTTAAAATGGCATTCCACTCCCTTCTTCAAAAAGAAAAAGAAAAACTACAATCATCTATTCTTTTTTTCCCTCGCGATTTTGATCACCATTTACTCCTTAAGTTGTGTGTTTGAATGATGGGATTGGGGTAGCTGGTAGGGTGGGGTGGGAGCACAAACTATAAATTTCGAGACGGAGGGCGTAAAGCGAGAATATGGTCGTACTATTGTCTTCAATTTTTAATTTTGCAATTTACGTGGGGAAAGCTGGAAAACTGTTTTCAATTACCAAAAGCACTATGAATGCAGTTTAATCCCTTGACAAATATTTCCTTAATAGAGCGTCCAACGCTGCGACTAACTTTCCGACAGCCGGGCACGGTGTCAAACAAACAAAGTACTCGGCAGCCAGAAATTTTCGCAAAATTTCCACCTAAAGTTTCTTTCAAGCTCCTCAAGAATATCAGATATTTGTTTAGAAATGTCAAGTGATTCCAAAATTTAATTTTCCTTGTTTAGTGGAAAAATTATTCGAGCTTTAGCATACTTTAATATCGCTCGGTTGTCGACACTTAGAAGTTATACGCGTCTGATCAGACTGTCGGGCACGGTCTCGAATGGACTAAACGCGCAGCAGTTGGTAGTTTCCACCAAAGTGCTGCTGTATCAGCTATAACACAGGCAGCCCAAGCCCCAGCTGTGAGATGATCATCTTGCGCAATAACAGTCATGGCAGAATTATAAGAGTTTGTATGGGAATATTTACGACCATATTTATATGTAGGTGGAAAACCTCGAAATGGACAACTCGCTAAAATGAGTTCTTTTCATCAAAGTAAGCGGTCAGATAAGAAGTGATACCCTGTGGAAGTAAGGTGAGAATTTGACGTATTTTTTAATTCGTTAAAGCGGCCGTAAATATTCCCATACAAACTCTTATAATTCCGCCATGTTATTGCGGAAGATGATCATCTCACAGCTGGAGCTTGGGCTGCCTGTGAGTGTAAGAGTAATCGGGTTCAAAACTCAACTCGCTAACTGAGCTGAAATATCCTACAGGATAAAATTTCAAAATACGTGCTGCTAACCGATTCTTAATTTGGCTTTTTTAGCGGACAAATTATCCAAGCTTGAGCTTACTTTGATATCTCTCGGTTGTCGACATTGAGAAGTTACACGTTTCTGATCAGACTGCCGGGTACGGTCTCGGATGGACTTAACGCGCAACAGTTTTCACCAGAGAATCGCTGAAAGGTTCCTTGACACTTCCTAAGAGTATCAAGTATAAGCGTAATCGAGTTCAAAGGTCAACTCGCGAACTAAATACGTGCTGCTAACCGCTACTTGAACTCATGCAATGAGATCCTCGAACTATTTAAAAAAAAAATCGGCTTGCTTGCTTGATTGTTTTTCTTTGAATACATAATAAATACCCTTCATTACCATTATGTCTGGCTAATGTGAGACATTGTTAAACAAGTTCCCGCAGGCTAGTCGAAGGAGCTTTGTCGTCTCGTCATTTGGCTCGTCAACTGAGCGGTGATTTAACAATGATAGAATGTCTGTTAGCAGGTAGCAAAATGAGAGATAAGATACTTGTTCAGTGAAATGGAAAGAGACGAAAGTGGCGCATTTGGGAACTTTCGACGGATAGGGGAGAGGCGATGAGACGTGACTATGACCTCGCTAGTAAATTCGATCAAAAGATTTTACTGTGTACATGGTTAACTTAATTTGCAAGTTAGAGTCATCTTACGTACATCAGTTTGAAAAAGCATGTCTCGCAATAAACAATACAGCCATGAATGTAATCTACAGACAGTTTTTGACTTCACCTTGTTCAGCCGAATGCAAATCTGTCCTTGCCTGTTCCATTTTAACTTGAGGCATGAATTCCTCCACAGTCCTCAACCTCTGTTCATAATCATTGAACTTTGTTTCGATTCGAATGAATCCAGCCGAATAAAGAAGCAAACAGAAAACAGACAGAGCCGTTCCAGGGCTCACTGGAAAAGAACGGTCTTTGATAGGCATCACGAAAGCTAAATGATCGAACTCGAAAGCAACTTGTTATGGCATATTCCTGAAACTTAACTCTTTTAAATTTGATAGCACTTTCAGCTCAAAGGTTTCGTCACGCAACCCTATCTGGTGGCTAGGAAAAATTAAAAAAAATACTTTGGCGGAGATGAAAAGGATCTGAAAAGAGCTAGATGATCAAAGGTGGTAAAACAAAACTCTTTTTGTTTTTCAAAGTGTTCCAATAGCTCTGAGATGGCTTTCAGTACGAGCGACAAACAGGGAAACTTAACGATAGAAACCAGGAAGAAATATTTCAATAAGAGGCAAATAGACAGACACGTACACAATTTGTTTTTGCTCGCGGTTGGTTTAAAATCAAGGAAACAATAAATGAAACGATCAACGGGCCTTTTCACTGCGTCTTATCTTACACACCCTTAAACATCCTCAACTCCACAAATTAAAGCTAAAAGTAATTTGCCGCGCACTGTCTGTTCATAATTGTTAGGAACCTTCTTTTTTAAATTTAGAACTTGTTAAATTGGAATAATGTACAGTAATAAGAGATTTCTTCTTCAAAAAATTACTTGTCATGTTTGATCGGATGGCTGTATCTCTACCCATCAGTTTGCCCTCTGAAAGTATATCTCTAAAGATTTCTGATTCCCTTCCTTGGAATACGAAGTAAAATTGTATATATCTGAATCCCTCCGTGTCTTTGTTTGATAATAATCGCTAAGTTTCTCTTGATTGACCTCTTCACAGTTACATCTCTAGAAGAGCTCAAACGACGTTGTGATTTTGTCTGCTTGTATTTTTGCGTCCACAAAACTCGATGCAGACACTAGCATGATTTGTGTAGTATGGCATCTCTCCTAGTTCTTTCTAACACGAATCCGGTTATGTGCGTTGTATTTTACATTTCTTAAACAAACTCTAAACAACGTTGGAACTTATTACGAATGTTGACTTACAATGTCGCGTAGTGTACGCTGAAATTTTTTTTTGACCCGATCATACTTGACGTTCCATTTTATAAGGAAACTCGTTTTGCACGAATTTTTAAATGAATCTCAATTCATATCTTATGTATTTTCCATGAATTGACAGTGGATAGTAGTGGATTAATGTAAGTTTATGCTAGTTTAGACGATAATTATTTCCATCATCAGTTACATTGCCGGCTCAGCCGACCCACTGTCACCATATTCAGGAAGTGATTTTATATACTGCGTATTCCGCTGGGAATTGAATTTTTTATGTATATATGTTTTCACTCAATTTTTTTTCTCTTCCTTTCTTTTTTCTCTCTGTCTTGTGTACCAGACTCAATAGACTATTTTAAGATTTTGATAAAGTGCTTCGCCTGTTATAGGTACTGATGTGATAGGGTATCTTATACTACTCAAGTATTATTAGAAATGAGACATCCGAATCAAAAACAACACTTCCTTCTTTCCATTTTATTCATCGAAATTCTCCTTTTTTTTGCGTCAGATGTTAAGAATGTTTTAATTATTTTCTTTTCACTTAGCTCTTGCAATTTTTAACATTTGCTCGATAACGAAATAATTTCTGGAAAGGTTTTGTGACAAGCTAAACATAGACCTTGACAATTTCTGTAATCTTTGTTTAGTTACGATATTTCATTCAATAGTTGTTCAAAATACAGGGCATGTATCGAGTTTTGAAGAGTAGGCTTAAACTCTTATTGCCTTAAGACAACGAATACATAGAGTGACGACATTACACCTCTATTTGCATCCTTTGTCGGCATTTTAGTATAACTGTGACATGGAATCAGAGGACAAATCTTCACACTTTGAAAATATTTCGTGACAGAAAAGATCCTTCCCCCATCTCATTACCCTTAATATCATAAAAAAAATATTACGGTTTGTTATTGAGGTGAATACACTTTCTATATGAAGCTTTATCATTTTCCTTACAATGTAGTAACCTCGGATGTGGATCGCGACGCTTCAACTGTATATTGATAGCCTTCCTCAGCGTTCTTTGCCTGAGGAAGTTTATCAATATGCAGAGTAAGAAAGGTTAGCCATTCACTCTGACGAAGGCTTTGAAACTCCCGATGGTGGCCAATTTACGTAATCAACTTAGTTGATAATACCAAATATTGTTATACTTGATCGCGATTTAGCAGAAAAAACTCATTTCGCTTGGATTTATCTAATTTCGGATCATTGCCAGATAACTGTATTAAAATCGCTGCGGTAATTTGTCTCAGGATGATGAAGCTTCTTCACTTATTTCATTACCCCTTTGTCTTTTTATATCTTTTTTCCCTCTTTTTAAGTGTGCCAGACTAAGAGCACTCTTAGCTGGTAGTCGGCCAGTGTAGTTATAACGTGCTGCTAGACTGTGAAAAGAAGGATTGGCGAAGCTAACTTAAGCACTGAATGATTTGAAGCTGAAACTGAAGCAGTTGATACCCAGAACTCCTTGCGATGATTTGCATACAAGGCTTGCGCTCAGTGAAAATACCTTGTAATAGAAAAGTAAAGCATTGTGTGGTTTTTTCAATGCATTAAGTGAATCAGATCCTTACTCTGTGATCACGGATTAGAGTTTAAATGGAAATATGTACTCTGCTTTAGTATGTGTTGTTGCTTATCAAATTATCCCGCCATTCGCTTGGTAGATTGGTAAGTTTCCTATGGGCATGAACTACTCATGCAAGTTTGTCATTGTGTCATATTTGTGCACTGAGTTAGATGAGAAAAGTTAATGTAAAATTGCCATCATTTTCGCGTGAATATTTCAACTCTTAAACATGGAAACGTGTAGTACGTGACGGGATAGAAACGAACGTATCTGGCCATGACGTTAGTAGTGAGGGAATGTTTTACGACGCTGTTTTGGTCTGAGTTTCCTGGGAACACCTGGAAGAGGAAAAGATTCATTATTCATAAAGAGAAAGCCGTACAGTCAAGCAACACAAAATGCAAGTTTATAGTTAGAGGATTTTGCGATAGGATCTAAAGTACACCGTTCCTCCAGCACAGACGCTGAGACTGAAACTTAAAGAAAAGTCTATGATAGAGTTGTGAGCTTTCTCTTGAATCTAGCCGCAATAAAACACGTGTAAGATAATTCCGATAGCTTTACAGCGAAGGAAATTGTTGTTGTTGAACTTGGATCTTTATCATGTTATTTGAGACCGCTATTGGGTCCATTTTCTCATTTCTCTCTCTCAAAAAAAATTGCTATTTATGGATGAGTTTATCAGTAGATATTTTGTCGAAATTTTGCAATAGTTTTGGCAAGTTGATCACAAGAATTTTATCCAGCCGTTCGGTGATCACACTCGTAAATAACGATAGTTACAATGCAGCTGGCAGCGCCTGTGGGCACTATGGAGCCTAACCTGTGTTCTGTCTGTCTACCTGGGAGGGCAAGATTGGCCCATCTTGCCTGCTCTGGATTAGCCGTTCCGATTCCGCGCAAGAAAATAAGTTTCGTGGAGTAGACTCACAAAGTTCGTAATTTTTTGACAATGTCGGTGATGGAGTCGCAAAAAGCGGCAGAAGATAGGCAAAACATAGAAAAAACTAAACGACTCTCGTGGGTTTATTGTGGTACAAATACAGTTGGCTTTTTTTAAAATTCTTATTCAAGCGGAGTGTTTTTGCAATATAATAAATCCTTCATTGAGCAAGCGTGAGGTCGAGATGGTTGAATATTAGTCTCGTTCATTTTTTTGCCCTTTAAAAGACCTTGACTTCATCTCGGTCTATAAAAACGCAAAAAATTAAAATTAAAAAAATAAAAGAACTCGGCCAACACTTAGGTATCTTGACCCCACGCTTGGTCAGTAACGCATACATCACACTCTTGAATGCAGCAGACCGATTTTGTAGATTACTCGTTTAATGCGCAGACCGAATTGGACTCCACAAGGGCCTATAGCTGTTATTTATAGCTGCCGATCAAATTAACCTTCAATCATTGGCATTTCCAAACCTTTTCAACATTTGATTCCTTGTAAGTTTTCCAAGTTACACCGTCTGTGGCTAGATGCAATTTGTACTTGGTGGTCCATTCGCGAACAAGCGGTGCTCCTTGGGTAGCCACGGCACAAACGGAAAGTACTGCACCCATATCAACTTGAAGATAGTCTGTTCTATCGTATTTAGTCCGAGGACACCATGCTCCCCTTCCCCTGGTTTCATTTAGTCGGCCGTAGTATGGATGATAATTTCCATTATAGAATGTGCTTGCTTTAAGTGCGGCATCTGGAATTGTGTCACTGTCCTCCACCCCAACTGGAACACATTCTAAATGGGAGTGAATCGAATAAATATTAAAGCTTATTCGCATGGTATCATAAAACCTACATTCTATGTTTTGTTTTGGTATCTACAACGCTTTATTAAAAGGATCTGCCCAGACTTCGGGTTCGTATCGAGCTGCGATGGATTTTAAAAATAATAATTAATGAAAATAAAAATAGCAATGATAATTATAATAACTACAATTGTAATGATAATAGTTATGCTAAAAATAACAATAATAATGACAATAACATTAGGAATAACATTATTATTAATAGTAATAATAAAGGTTATAATAACTACAATGAAAACAATAATTACAATAAATAAAACCCGAATATAGGACACACAGGGTAGACTCACCACCATTAATAGTCAATTTCATTTCAGTGACCGCCTTATATACTTTGTTAGATGTTGCTGTACAGATATAAGTGCCTGAGTCTTCCACTTTTGTGTTACTGATTTGAAGTGTTCCATCATGACTGACTTGTGATCTGCCCACAGGAAGATTGCCTCTCTCTTTTAACCACGTGATTTTTGGTTGAGAGTGACCAGTAGCCTGACAGGGGACTGAAATGGTTTTCCTCTTTTCAACATAAAGCCATGCAGGTGGTGTTTTTGTAAAACGCGGCAGCTGAAAGACACTTAGGTGCGTCCAAGCTGAGTCATGTCCTAAAATGTTTGACGCTTTACATTCGTATGAACCAAAGTCTGCCATTTTCGCATGTAATATAGTCAGCTGTCCATCTTTCACAACAGTCCTAGACTGCGCTAAGCCATCATTAAATTTGGACCACGTGATCACTGCTGGTGGAAGGCTTGTCACGTGACATTTTGGTAGAGTGATGTTCTTTCCTATTTCAATGTAGGTTGGGCCCGGAGAAAGTGAAACTTGGGGTGGAGCTGTGAATAATTGCGTAACTCGTTAGTACCGTTAAACTAAAGTTACAATTTCGGCCACTTTACAAACTAGATGGATTTAAGTTATTCTTAGAGTAAAACGTATTCCTCGGTGATACGTTTTGTTCATGTGAACACGAAATAAAAAGGAAAACGTGAAAAATATATAACTTACATTGAACAACAAGACTTGCAGTTTTTTCATTCTTTCCCAGTATACTTCGCGCCTCGCATCTGTATTCGCCCGCATCTTCTAAGCCGACATCAGTGATCTGCATCAGGCCATTTGATGTCACTTTGGTCCGATCGCTAGGCAACGATCCCTTGGCTTTTGACCAAGTTATTTGAACAGCGGGATTTCCAGAAGCAGAGCATAGAAGCGAGGCCGTCTTGGTTTCGTTGACAATTAGTTTTGGCGGGGAAATTGTCACATTTGGAGGCGAAAGAGACTCTCCTGATTCCCCTTTAATTCCCGGGATACCTGGGATACCGGGTGGCCCGATGTCTCCTTTAATTCCCTTCTCTCCTCTTACTCCGGATGGTCCCATCTTTCCTGGTTTTCCGCTCCGACCAGTAGCTCCTATAATTCCTCGGGGGCCTTTCGTTCCTTTGTCACCTTTGGGTCCTGCTCTCCCCGGAGGTCCTGGCCGGCCACGAGGACAAACATTCAAACCAGCTTTGTTGTGGCAAATACTCCAAGTGAAATAAACAATGTCCTCTATCATTTTCCTAATCCCAGCTGAATTATTAAAAGGTGGTGGATGCGAAATACTACGCTTCAGTCGATTGATTTCAAGCTCGGCAGAGGTGGTTTGTATGACTGAAAATATATCAAATATGTCAATAAAATAGGAGAGTAACTTAATAAGACCCTTCATTGTTATCTCAAATAACATGATACAGATCCACGTTCAACTACAAACACTAGAAGCAAACGACAATGGACCTTTTTACAGTTCCCGGCGCCATATTGGATTAGTAACCGCGCACACACGATAACGAGGCTGGGGTTGACCCAGCGGTTCTTTCAAACCGCTGATCTGCTGACATTTCACGTTCTGGTGCACTTTTCAATGTGATTTCTTCCTTCAAAATGCTTGTTTAACACAACAATATGGAAATTTCGTCATTAGATGACATCCAGAAACTCGAAGCAAAAGATCTCAGGGAGATTTTAAAATCTAGTTCAAAATCGACGGGCGGAATTAGAGCCGACTTATGTTTACGTTTATTATGTTTATGCTTTGCTGATGTAACACGTCCTTCCATCGAGTAGTGGAGAAAACCGAGAACTTCTTACAGGACTTAGAACAAAGCCAGAGCGACTTCAAATACGAAGCAACTATGGTAAGGATTTCAGCCCTTGGATGGTCGAGCGATCTCCGTAATTTACCCGAGATGAATTTCACTCAGCTTTACGATTACCCCGTTGTTTCACGAGAATATCGCCACATCGTTTTGAGAGGAACGCATTACAGGAAGTACCACAGAAGTTGTTCAGTATGGCTTAGAAAGCGAGGCAAAGGCTGTAGTCCTCTAGGTAGAGGAGATTTGTTATTGCTGCTGTTGTTGATGTGGTACTTGTTGTTGTACCATATTCTTCAGTTAAAGTTGTTCCAATTTTGTTTACCAAGAGGTATGTTAGTTTGCCATTTGTACATTGTATCTTACGAGAAACTATACAATAGAGACTGTAGAACCACTTGATTATAACCCTTCTTTCTATCAACCCACGAGGGAGACTGTAACTAATAGATGTCATAATATTTTGAAACCCATCTGGCCCAGGACAACTTATGCTCGTGATACACTGAAAACCATTTCAGTTCACGACTCATGGTAATTTATTAGGTGGCAAGACAGCATTGAAAGAATCAGACCAAAATATTAGACAATTTAAAAACTCCCAAAAGAGACTGATTCATGTAACTTCTCCCTATAATATCCAAACACTATCCAGCAAACAGATAATGATAATACTGAAACTTATCAGGCAGAGGTTATCTTGATCTTACATCAAATTCTCATAAGGGAGAATTAACAATCAGATCTTGGGTATTTAAGGGTTAAAGGAAGAGAACAGAAATGCTGCCTCTCAGCTACTGATCTCAACAATGCTAGTCCTTTACACACATTTAAGTTTCTGTCAGTGATAAACATTCTGTGAATTAATATTCCTATTCTTAGCACTCAGAGGCCTTCTGACACAAAGGTTTGCTATACTAGTTCTTATTGCATTGTGTTAACCAATGTTATGATGATATAATTTTGAGATGTAAAGAAGATACTTAAAAGATTGATAAATATATCCAAATCAAGATATATATTTTATACTGTTACAGTTACCACACGGATTTGTTTGAAAGAGAATCTTTCAGACCATCGAATTGTATGAGAAATTATTTTTTGCAAGACTTCAATCAAAATTTTTATGATGAGGACAATTTTGTTAATGATAAAATTTAGTGTCATAGTTCATCTATATGTCGAGAACTCTTTCAGTTGGTGAAACTCACTTTTTATTTTTTTCAATTTGAAGCATCAAATTGATTGATACATTAAGCACACAAAATATTTTTTGAGAGTTCCATCTGGCATCCATAGTGGGTTACTCTGCTATCATAAAAATAAAAAACATCAACTACTGAAAACTGCTTTTGTCACAATTATTACCAAATTTGTGTCAGTTTTTTGGGTCTGCCATAATAACTGAAAACTCTGAAGATACAGTGTCTTGACTATTTTATTGAAAGCAATTACTCTCCAAGAGTTTCTCTGCTAGGAGTGTTTAAGGTAAGCCATGTAGTAAAAAGGTGATTAGTACTGAACTTATTGAGTTACTGCCGGAATAAAAAAAAAACTCTATTGAACTTAAAACAATTCTGGTACCTAATAGAAAATGTGTACTAATTTTGCAACAATAGTTACCCTCATCCATAATTCACAGAGAATAAGATAAGTATAGAATGATAAATACTTAGCAAAAATACATGCCTCCGTGCATAAACTTGAAGAAGTGAAAGCTCGTAGGCAAACCATTGGCCATAAAATGTATTCGAACAACCAAAAGCGGCACACTGCTTTTCTTTCTTTTTGGAAGAAAAATTAGCTTTATCGAGATTTCGGCTAGGACCATTCATTTTCCTTAAAAACCGAACAATTTTACTGCCCACTTACGAATTTCACCAAAAGCGCTCACCCTAGACTCGTTCTCACGTGTGTGCGGTTGCATGTCCAATATGGCGCTGGGAACTGTAAAAAGGTCTATTTGACCGGAGCGAGGACACAAATCCTTTACAGTTATCAAAAGCGACGTAAAAGAAATTTAAATTTAACCCCTTGTCAAATGGCTCATGTTTATCTCTTGACTTGATTTCTCCACAAATATAATCATTTCGAGCTTGACGAGAAGTTATGAATATTTTAAAGCTGTATGTTTACAAGGGTATTGACAGGGAGCTTTACTTTCTTGTTCACAAAGAGACTCGGGAGAAAGTTTTCATTTCTTGTTCACAAAACGGTGGGCAACACATCGGTTCCACTATTTCAATGTCGCTATTTAAAAAATAATAGTGTATTGCTGAGATTGAAAACATTTGCGTTTTTGTCCTTGGTAAGTCTCCAACTTATTAGAGAATGAACATGATGTAAAACAAGAGTCGTCCACATGGTTAGCTTTTATTCTACGTCGTTAGATACACGGTAATTTCCATATTTCAATGGAGGGAAAATAAATCTAGGTTAAATCTGTTATTCTAAAACAGAAGTCAGAGGAGACGACCATTAGCTCTCGAGTACTTTTGATCAAAAACTTAATCCTGTGACAGTTCAGAGTAACTTGCAACTGACATAAATCACTTTAAATAAGCATGACTAGCAACAAACACAGACAACCATGTATCAATTAAAATAAATGCAGTCGGACATCACCTTGTTCAGTGGGAGGAGAATCCGTCCTCGCTTGTGTCATTTTATCTTGAGGCATGAATTCCTCCACAGTTTTCAACCTTCGTTCATACTCATTGAACTTGGTCTCGTTTCGAATGAATTCAGCGGAGTAAAGAAGCAAACAGAAAACGCTCAGAACTGTGCCGGGGCTCATTGGGAAGGAACGGTCTTTAAGAGACATCGTGAGAGCTGAGTGATCGAACCTTCACGTAACCAGCTTTCGCAGCATGTTGCAGTAACCTTACACTGCCTAAATTTAATACTAGGTTTAGGTCAGAAGGCTACAGACCTTAATGTGATAGCTAGCTTTTTTTGTCCCAATACATTTCTCTTAGGTGAAAGAATCCTAAATTAGCAAATAAACGATATATTGTGCGAAATCAAATTTTCTACAAATTTTTTTGACGGTTAATCGACGGCCATTTTGAAAACGTTCGGATCCAGGTAACGTGATGTGATACATCACACGTGTGTAAGGCAGTGAAAAGCGTCATGTCAAGACCTGAAAATAACACTTCGCCCTCGCTATCCAGCTGCTGCTGAAATTTACGAGCGAAAAAAGAAATAAGATTTGTTTCATTCTGTTATAGGCCACCATTTAGAGACTATGAAATACGAAGTGAGAAATAAAATAATAAAGGTTGAATTATCGAAACGCGATGGATCGCGTGTTTGTATTCGGAGCCACAGGTTATTTGCACGCCATTCCAAACAGCTGTAAAAAACATATATATTCCCATAATTATTTCCTCTAAACCATTATCGAGCCCTATACTTAAGGAAATATTTTAGTCCAAGCCGAAAAGCATTTGACTTTAGATTTTGTCTGGTGTTTATCACTGTGACCTCAGGCCCATCGGTTCTGGAGTCAGCGTGACAAAGAGCAAAGTGTTGTCGCGTGCTATGGAAGGTCGTCATCTGGTTTCGTGAAGGAAACTCTTCTTCCACGTTCCGGAAATGGACAAGATTTATCCTTTTTTTAAATTTTTTTTGTTTTAACGGAGACTAATGAGCAGCACAAAGGAAGACTTCTTGCCGATGTAACTTTTTGATTATTTCTTTCGATGCGTTTCGTCTCCAGCTGAGAGTTCTCCAGGAATGATTACAAGTAACATTGACCAGCATATATAGCACAATCGTGTGCCTTAGTTTAGTTAACTTCCGGTGGACGTGATCAATAATAACAGAAACATGCTGTAAACGGATATTAAATGAAACGCCTTGTTGTTTCTCATTTGCAACCGGAAGCATGATAATTAAATCAATCCTGTCCGAAAGGTTACTCGTTTCAAAAATGTATCACTGTCAGCTGAGTGAACAGTAAATTACTCACGCTCGTTCATCGTAAATAAAACAAGCCGACAGCCTGAGAGAAGAAACCATGAAAGCACAAATCGTGGTATTGCCTTGCACCCACAGTTTAAAACGCAGTGCTTTCGTTAAAAAGAGGAACCGAGTTAACGACAAACTCGTGCTTCGGAAATAACAAGCACGTGATGTTTCTCAAATTACGACCTGAACATAAAAAAAAATATATATATATTCAAGCTCAAGTTATCCAAAACTGTACTACTCCTAGCCGTATTGACATTACAGTATGGACAGAACACAACAGGATTTAGAAAAAAGAAAACGAAAACCAGGGAAGCGCTGTTCAGCGATGTTCTGTAACGAAACAAGTGCAGAGGTCGGAGTCAGCCTTCACCAGTTTCCTCAAACCCTGGATGCAGGACTATAAATCTGGCTTCTGCCTGCAACTGTTCCTCTGTAACGTTCTCCAAATTTTTATTTTTGACCACATCTACTTTTTGGCAAGATGCTTTCTTTCTCTTTTCACATTAATTGAAAGTTTCCACACTGACACCTTGTAATTAAAAAAAAAAAAAAAAATCAGTAAAGAAGCCATAGTAGTTGCCTCTTAATCACTTAGTCCCTAGTCGCCAACTTTGTCAAAACTATATTGTGATCTTGTGGTTTACCGATGGAGTCGAGAATTTGTTGTAACAAAAATTAAGGTTAATGTTTATCAATATGTTTTGTGAGAAGCACACTTTTGAACCCGTAATAAGGAAGATCAAAGTGCTCTGTGAGCAAACTCGTGAATTGACACATGATTTTGACACATGATGTTTAATGTTATCTGGTTTTGGGAATTTTGTGGTTGATTGTCATATCTAGAGTACGAGCAGTAGTTCAGTGTTCGCTAATGTAGCAAAGAAACAAAGTAACGTTGGGATAAGAAGGCATTACAATTGAAATAATCATGCTATTACAAGCAAGGTGGATGATGTCATGTGTTTTAAACGTCTATCATTTTTGTTTCTGGTTCAAAAGAAAAGGTTGGAAGTAAATGTGGGTGAAAAGTGAAATTTACTGTCTTTCGTTGTAAATATTAGAAAATCAAGGCAATACTGTCTTAATGAAAACATTAACGATTCCCTCTTTATCAAATCAGACAAACTGGAACGAGTTTTGAGTGATATAACTAAGCCAAGCCTGCCACCGTCATTTTGGATCTCCGCCTGGGTAGATTTAAGTCACGTGCTAGGCAACGTATAATCAATAACAAGATAGAATTTCATTTCAGGCCTATTTATCAATTTTGTGGTGTGTAACTTTCGCATTTTAGTACGTTGTATGTATGTTGAATCTTCAAATTGTCTTGAAACTTAAAAGAAAATTGTTCTTTAAAAATTCACTGAAAATCGGTAGCTAAAATTGTTTGTTTAGGTGTTATCTGATTTTCGTGTTAACTTGTAATTTCGTCAGTCGCCGGCATCTTTTGTTGCTTCACACAGGAAAAACACACGCGACGAAACGTAATGATCAATTTTGTCCTCAATCTCACGCCATAACAGAAAAAGCTTCTGAACATCTGTAAACTTCGAGCGCTTCGCAGTAAGTAATATTTTCAATGAATCTTCCGATTGTTTTCGAGTTCAAGGATTGTAAATTACAATTTTATGAAAAACGAAGGTTGTTCTGTTATTTCAGTGTGAATCCTTGCAAGCCTGCCAGTCGCTGGCGCCGCTTGTTGAAACTAAAACGAAAAAAAAACTCTTTTAAGATTATCATTGGCTTCTTTTTCACCCCACCACTATTCTTATCAACAAAGGTCGCCATTTCTTCTGTTTACTGCTCGCTAAAAACTATCAAATGCACTCAAAAGCCTAAAATCTAAAAAAGTTTACAGGAATCGACCAATCGAGCGAGCGAGCGAGCGAGCGAGCGAGCGAATGCCATTCCCCACATGGTATCTATAACTCGCTCTTGCGCATGCGCGCAATTCACGAGTTAAAAAGGGAGTGAATTTGGCTTTCTTAGCAAGGGAAAAAGCTACACAACATAAGGGCTACCCATGAGATGGAAACGACTGTGGACCCTTTTCTTCTGCTAGCTAGGTGCTAGCTAGGTGTAATGAAAAACCTACCTTGCAGGGGCAGGTGAGAAGTGGGGGCGGCGTTGTCAGAATATCAATGAGCGTCGATCAAGTTTTGTATCGATGATCAAACTTGACGGTTGTTTTCCTTTGAAGCCGTGGAGTTTTGATCGTAATTTGGAAAA